AATTGTTTTCTTTTGTTAAATTATTTGTTGTTTGTTCATTTTTATCATTAGATTGATTTGTGTTGGATTAATTGAAGTTAAAAATAAAACCTATAGTTTTTGAAATTTTATTCTTAATAATCAACCAACTCCGAAATTGTCTTGATATACGTATACATGAATTAAATATTGGTAACCAAAATAACAATATAGCTATACAACGTAAATCATGTCAATAAATATATGATATGTATATATTTAATTTTTCTTGTTAAATAATAAAGATGATCAAGATCCAGAGCTGGGCGAGTCACAGCCATGACTCAGACTCGACTCGAGCAGTCGAGTCTTTCTCGCCAGCAGTGTCACATATCCTGCAATTTGGAGAAGTGCTCACATCTCTGCCGGGAGATGCTGCATTTTCAGCGGGAGATGCAGCACCCAATGTTAGAGATGTACATCTCTCAATGAGATGATACATCTCCAAAATCTTGGATATGTGACACCACTCGTTTCTTATGGATCTTCTTAGTAAAAATAAACAGAAAAGAATGGCAAACCAAAAAATTATCTGACTCGACTCGACTTGACTCGAGAAACGGCTTGACTCGCCTAGCCCTGTCAAGATCATTCAATGATAAAAGTAATAATTGCATAAATGATCTATTATCTGGTTCAATTAAATTTGAATTTGATTATAATGATTGATATATTTATCTGATATAGTTAAAACATATCGTTGGTAAAGATATTCAAACATTGATAATAATGTTTTCGATAATGTACAAGATGATATTATTTGATCCGTTTCACAACTAAGAAGTAATTTTGTTTTTGAAATATATTTATATAAATTATATCCGATATAAATATTATAAAACATAATAAATCATATATATCACCTGTTGAAATTAATTATACAAAGTCTTAGGAAAGCAAAAAAGAACAGAATTATATTGTGTTTTATTTTCTCAAATCAGTTTTCATTTACTATAAGAATTATCTTAAAAAGTTTAAGCTATGGAGAAGACCAAATAGGATTTTGAAGTCCAGAAATTCAAACCGATAAAAAGTTTGTCGAAATTCTTGAATACAATTTTATCGTTCGAGAAAGACTTCGTGATGTTTTATAAAACTCAGCTGCTTTTTTGAAATAGACTTCCTTTGGTCGAAAAGTCGAAATGAATTTAAGATGAACATCACTGTTGCATCCTTAGTCATCGGTTCATGATATTTGTTTAGAAGAATGTTTTATAAACTTGAAATTTCCAATTTCTAAAATTTTTTTTCAGTGGCAAATAAATAACACAATAGAAAACATCTTACGAGATATCTTTTAAAATTATTTATGATTATTTTCTTCATTAGTCATTTCATAATATTAGAAAGACATCATTTTCTTTAATTGTAACAGTACAAATATCACGACTCAGCATTTGATCCATGAGTTTCGGAAGGAAATTTTTCGGTCATTGTACTAATTGTAGCTTAAATACTTTCCTTTACGATTCGTATTACTTGAAATTCTGCAGCTTTAACTATCTCATATTAAAAATCGTTCTTTATATATAATATTTTTCAAAATTTTGAATTATTCAAGTCTCATCTATTACTAAAACATAAACAATGTCAAAGTAAAACAAACATTTTTCTTTTTAAATAGGATCAATCGCTTTTGGATATTTATTCCATACAATTAACACTATTTGATGTTGTATCATNACATAAACAATGTCAAAGTAAAACAAACATTTTTCTTTTAATTGGATTAAAATTTTCAGTATACATATATATTCATTTCGATAAATTAAACTAAAACATATCGGTGACATCATAGATTGTTATCATTTTTTACGAGTTACATTTTTAAGCTTTTGTGTATCAATTTTTGGTGTTATATCTAGAGGACAATTAAGATTATTAAAATCTTCTTTAATAATATTGATTGATATTAAAATCATTTCAATACGACCACAAACAATTAATTCAGCTAAACGTAATATAGATATATAGGGTAATGGAAGAAATTATTAAATTAATAAAACTAATACAAGACCACTTTCGTCTAAATGTATTCCTTCACAAACAAATAAATGACTTGCAACTGATGTACGATGTATAAGACTAAATAAATTATGTACATATGTATAATCAAGCATATTCAGAATATGTGTCCATTGTAATAATAATGGTATATAAAATAATGATAATAATAATTTAAAATATTTCCTTAAAATAGTTAAATATGAAAATGTATCAAGACGACGTAGTTTCATCATGAATTAATAATTGGCGAAAATCATTTACAATTGTTCGAAATTGTTTAACTAAAATAAAATTATAGATCTTATAAAAGCATAGGAATTTTAAAGTCAAATGTTTTTCGCCAAATCATTAGTAATTAATGAATTGCAAGAAAGTTTTATCTTCAAATTAATGGGAGATATGATACTATCATATGAATTATGATGAAGGCTTAAGCTTCTTTGACTTTGATAGAAACCAGTTTTTATCTGTTCAGTTAGTTTCTTCTTCCTAAAGTTTCAAACCGAAATTTTTAAATCAATCATTCCATTTTTCATTGCAAAGATGACGACTTCAATTAAAAATGATGTTCCTACTGCTGGACTATCATATCCATGTCTACAAATACACTATTATCTTGATTCATTACCATTTTCCATAATACTATTGATTCGACCATGTAATTGTCGAGTATTAGTTAAAATTCGTAATATTACATCTTGCAAAAATTTGAAGAAGAGCTCTGAAAACAAAAACGATAACAAGTTTTTAAATTGCAAATAAAATTATTTCGAATACTTGTGCACTAAACGTTTCATCTCGTGCTTCATTAACTGAGGATAAAACATCATTCAATCATGTTAATATAGCATCTTTAGTTAAATTTTGTACAAAACATCGAAGTATTATATTTATATTGATTAACCATCGATTTGTAGATTGACAAATGACATTTAAAAAAAAAAATTTTAAACAACAAGAAAATTTAAAAAAATAAAAACAACAAACATTTCTATTTACTAATGTTCAAAAAGCAACAACAAATGGATTAATTGTTGGTCGTCATGCAACTGATGATACAACATCAAATAGTGTTAATTGTATGGAATAAATATCCAAAAGCGATTGATCCTATTTAAAAAGAAAAAGTAACGTAGAATCAGAGATTATTAACAAAGAAAAATAACCTTAGCTAAACTAATAGTAACATGTGATTGTAAATGAATAAGAAGTACATCGGCAATTTGTCGTGAAAGACATTTCTATATATCACCATCATTTCGAACACTATCAACAATAACTGTTAACAATCGTAAATCCTATAACAATATGAATTCTATTTTTTGTTTTTTTTTCAGGACACACACATGACATGAAAAGATACTTTTATTTATAATAATTAAGACGCGTAGTTTTCCTTCAAACTTTTTATTGTCGTATCTTTTATCAAATACATAANTAATTAAGTATAAAATCTTCATCACCACAATTAAGATTATTAAAATCTTAAATAATATCGATTGATATTGCTGCTGATAATATTTGTAAAATTAATGGTAAATATCTCTCTAATAATTATTTACTTAATGTGTGTTGGTCAAGTGTTAACATCATTTCAATATGATCATAAGCAATTAATTCAGCTAAATGTAATACAGATATATATATATATGGTAATGAAAGACATTGTTCACTTAATAAAACTAATAAAAGATCACTTTTATCTAAATGTATTCCTTCGCAAACGAATCAATGACTTGCAACTGATGTACGATATATCAAACCAAATAAATTATATAGATGTATACATGAATCACTTTGTTCAAATAAAAACTAATCATTAATGATGTGTTATTAATGATGATGGTGTTACTATTGATGACCACCATGCTTCTCACTTAAAACAGTTAAATATGACAATGTATCAAGATGATGTACAGTTTCATCATGAATTCATAATTGACGAAAATTATTTACAATTGTTCGAAATTGTTTAACTAAAATAAAATTATAGATCTGATAAAAGCATAGGAATTTTAAAGTCAAATATTTTTTGCTTACTCATCAGTAATTAATGAATTGCAGGAAAGTTTTATCTTCAAATTAATGAGTGATATGTTACTATCGTATCGATTATGATGAGAGCTTAAGCTCTTTTGACTTTGATAGAAACCAGTTTTTATCTGTTCAGTTGGTTTCTTCTTCCTAAAGTTTCAAACCGAAATTTTTAAATCAATCATTTCGGTGCTCGTTACAAAGATGATGACTTCATTGTTTCGATTGATTATCATTTTCCATAATATACATAAATAAAAAGCGATAATCGGATGTAAGAGAAACTAATATCATATCCATTTGACCGCGTAATTGTCGAGTATTAGTTAAAATTTGTAATACAACATCATGTAAAATATGAAGAGCCCTGAAAACAAAAATGAAAATAATAGTTTTTAAATTGTAAATAAAATCATTTCGAATACTTACACACTAAATATTTCATCTCGTGTTAAATTAACTGATGATACNAAAATACCAAGGATAAGACAATGAGGCATTTGATAACTATACAAAATCCTAGGAAAACAAAAAAAGAACAGATTTATATTGTTTCTTATTTTCTCAAATCAATTTTCATCTACTATAAGAATCATTCTAAAAATTTTATGCTATGAAAAAAACCCAATAGGGTCGCGGAGTCCAGGAATTCAAACCTATAGAAAGTTTGTTGAGATTCTCAAATGCAATGTTATCGTTCGAGAAAGACTTCGTGATGTTTTATAAAACTCAGCAGCCGTTTTGAAATAGACTTCCTTCTATCAAAAAGACTTGAAATGAATATAAGATGAGCATCACTGTTGCATCCACAGTCATCGGTTCATGATATTTGTTTAGAAGAATGTTTCATAAACTTGAAATTTTTGATTTCTAAAAATTATTGTGAGTTGAAAATAACACAATCGAAAACATCTTACGAGATATCTTTAAAACTATTTATGATTATTTTCTTCATTAGTCATTTCATAATATTAGAAAGACGTCGTTTTCTTTGGTTGTAACAGTACATATAGCACGACTCAGCATTTGACGGATGAGATCCAAGACGAATACTTCGGTCATTGTACTAATGTAACTTAAATGCTATCCTTTACGATTCCTGAAATTCTGCATTTTTTCTTTCTTATCTATGTAATTAAAACTCGCTCTTCTTTCTATGTAAGTACAGTAGACCGACTAGTTTTATAATTCAAAATATTTTTCGCAATTTTCAATTATTCAAAAACCTCATCTATTACTAACACATAAACAATGTCAAAGTAAAACAAAATTTTTTTCTTTAATTGAATTAAAATATTCATTATGCATATTTATTTCGATAAATTAAATCTAAACATCATTTCCATATGATCATAAACAATTAATTCAGCTAAATGTAATACAGATATATAAATGGTAATGGAAGAAATTGTTCAATTAATAAAACTAATAAAAGATCACTTTTATCTAAATGTATTCCTTCGCAAACGAATCAATGACTTGCAACTGATGTACGATGTATAAGACCACATAAATTATATAGATGTATACATGAATCACTTTGTTCAAATAAAAAATAATCATTGATGATGGTGTTAGTATTGATGACGACCATGTTTCTTGTGTATAATTAAGTATATTCAGAATTTATATCCATTGTAATAATAATGGTATATAAATGGATGATAATAATGGAAAATATTTATTTAAAATAATTAAATATGACAATGTATCAAGACGATGCACAGTTTCATCATGAATTCATAATTGACGAAAATCATTTACAATTGTTCGAAATTGTTGAACTAAATAAAATTATAGATCTTATAAAAGCATAGGAATTTTAAAATCAAATATTTTTTGCTTACTCATTAGTAATTAATGAATTGCAGAAAAGTTTTATCTTCAAATTAATGAGTGATATGTTACTATCATATAGATTATGATGAAAGCTTAAGGTCTTTTGACTTTGATAGAAATTATTTTTTATCTGTTCAATTAGTTTCTTCTTCCTAAAGTTTCAAACCGAAATTTTTAAATCAATCATTTCGGTGCTCGTTACAAAGATGACGACTTCGTTGTTTCGATTGATTACCATTTTCCATAATATACATAAATAAATAGCGATAATCGGATGCAAGAGAAACTAATATCATGTCCATTTGACCGCGTAATTGTCGAGTATTAGTTAAAATTTGTAATACAACATCATGTAAAATATGAAGAAGAGCCCTGAAAACAAAAATGAAAATACTAGTTTTTTAATTATAAATAAAATCATTTCGAATACTTACACACTAAACATTTCTTCTCGTGTTAAATTAACTGACGATACAACATCATTCCATTGTGTTAATTTAGCTTCTTCAGTTGAATTTTGTACAAGACATCAAAGTATCATATTTATATTCATTAACTATCGATTTATAGTTTAACGTTGATACCCTAAAAACAAAATTTTAAACTACAGGAAAATTTCATAAATAAAAAACAACGAACATTTCTATTTGCTAATGCTCGAAAAGCAACAACAAATGGATCATTTGGCCGTAATTCAACTAATGAGACAACATTAAATAGTGTTAATTNGTTCTTCTTTTTATGTAACTAAACCATACTGGTGTCATAATAATATCCATTGATATTGGTAATATTTACAAAATTAATGGTAAATATTTCTGTAATAATTATTTACTTAATGCTTGTTGGTCAAGCGTTAATATCATTTCAATATGATCATAAACAATTAATTCAGCTAAATGTAATACAGATATATATATATATATGGTAATGGAAGAAATTGTTCAATTAATAAAACTAATAAAAGATTACTTTTATCTAAATGTATTTTCGTCACAAACGAATCAATGACTTGCAACTGCTGTACGATGTATCACTTTGTTCAAATAAAAAAAATTGATAATATGTTGTTATTGATGTTAAATGTTCAACATATAATTCATAATGACATATTAAATCACAATAAGATTCAAATTGACTATCTATTAATGTGTTAATATTGATGACGACCAAGTTTCTTGTGTATAATTAAGTATATTCAGAATTTATGTCCATTTTAATAATAATGGTATATAAATTGATGATAATAGTTGACATAAATCATTTACAATTGTTCGAAATTGTTTAACTAAAATAAAATTATAGATCTTATAAAAGTATAAGAATTTTAAAGTCAAATGTTTTTCGCCAGATCATTAGTAATTAATGAATTTCAGGAAGATTTTATCTTCAAATTAATCGTTAATATGATATTATCATATTGATTATGATTCAACTAAAAAAATGATGTTCCTATTGCTGGACTATTATATTCATGTTTACAAATACACTATTGTTTGGATTGATTGCCATTTTTCATAATATACATAAATAAATACCGATAATTGGATGCAAGAGAAACTAATATCATATCCATTTGATCGTGTAATTGTCGAGTATTAGTTAAAATTTGCAATACAACATCATGTAAAATATGAAGAAGAGCCCTGAAAACAAAAATGAGAATAATAGTTTTTAACTTACAAATAAAATCATTTTTGAATACTTACACACTAAACATTTCATCTCGTATTAAATTAACTGATGATAAAGCATTATTTCATTGTGTTAATTTAACTTCTTCAGTTGAATTTTGTACAAGACATCGAAGTATCATATTTGTATTCATTAACCATTGATTTATAGTTTGA